AATGGTGAATTGTTCGTTTGTAGATCGTTGAGTTTCACTGGATTCAACAATCAACCTGAGCTAGACAACCGCTGAAAACCTGAAAACAATTTATGTCCTCTGACCCTGTCGATTATCACATAACACAAATGCCAATCGGGATATCGACCTCTATGATATTGTTTCTGTTCATTAAGCAGCACGACTAACCTTGAGTCAAGTGAGAGTCTTTTTTATTCCCCTGTATAGTAGCTTCTTGCCTAGGGCAGCCCGCTCAGGCCAGAACATAAACTCAGACTCCACTGCATGAGTCGTATATTTCTGACATACGTCGTTTACAAATTAGTTGAACAGACCTCATTACATCACAGAATGAGCGATAAAAAGCCTGGAAGTTCAAGCGAAAAGTGGCTGTCAGTATGGGAGACTGTAACGAATAAATTGGGAATAAATCAGGAATAGTAAATTGTATACGGCGGTCAGTAAACCAGATGAAGGCTGTTTATAAAAGAAATATAATCTAGTTACTTATTAATTGCGCAACAGCACTTTATGCAATAAAAGTTCATCAATGATTCTCAGCAGTTACCATTCATTTATTATTCGGTCGGTCATAACACAATGGACTCCCATTTTGTTCTGTTGAGGAACTCCTCAGCAGTTCTGTGGTTATCAGTGGGTACCCTGGCCTCACGACCTCAAACACTTTCGTTTTTTTAACGTAAAGCATTGTATTTCGTCTATTTGCTAACTTTAACATCTAGGACAGAGCTAAAGTGATTTGCATGATTTCCCCGCTTGACAAGTTTTGGCAGTTTCCTTTTATACGATATGGTACTCCCGGCCTTATGCCAGATACCTCCTTTGCCAAGCTTGAAACCAGCAGTAACCCTAGGCGGAGTTCAAATCAAGAAATATTAGTCACTATATTTAGTGACCATGTTGTTACTACTACTGATTTAGCTCGTGTCTGGGAAGATTTCACACCTACGTACATGAACGTAATCAAACACGGTTGGATGGAACATAGAATGTCAGTAACAAACAAAACCCACCAAACACAACTTCCTAGACCGAATGAATAAAGTCTCCGTATGCCGTAAACTTAAAGTAGTGTATTGCACACATGGCAATCCTAAACTTCACAACTTCTGAATGAGCATTCGTAATCTGCATACGACAGTTCTCTTTTACACATTCTGTGACTTGAGGCGATGAAGCTGAGTCCGGGAGCATTGGTTACTAGTCCTTTCTGAAATAATCTGATAAACCTCCACAAAATGAATATAAGTCAAGTAGGAGTGACCACCAGAATAAGCCCCAACAAAATATCATCATAGGTTTTCTGAATATCTTAAACAGACAAATTTAACTGCGACCGAATTATCAGACCGTTACAGTTTTTTTTAAAAATTGTTGAAATCACGTCTCTTTATTTGTAGTGTGTTACTAAATATGCATTAAGATGGCAGGAACTGGTATGTACAACATACTTATAGTACATCCAAATGTTGGTTTACCTCGGCCTCTTAAAACACATTATGATCAAACTTTCAGCGCCAAAGAGAAGTTTGGATGCTTTAAGTGGCGGTTCTACACTGATTTGGTCCATCGCAGCTTTCTCCCATTCATTCATCATATGTTGTGATCGCTATATGATTTTGGTATTCTCCCTATTTTGGGGTTTCTGTGCCATTCACCTGAAATTTTCTACCGTGGATTCCCCAAAATATCCCCTAAACGGATAAATATTTCTCTGAAATCGGAGATTAGGAACTCACATCAGATACGATCCAATACTTTGAAAACTTTAAAAGGTTTACAAACTTGAAAACTTTGAATCGAGACCTGTAAAATAAGCTAAAAGGAGATAGTATTATCCGGTTTCACCAAATACTGTTCAGTACGCATTGAGTCACATTAAGTATCTTAACGTGCAGTGTGCCTTAGAGCTGGTATTTTCCTTAACAACAAATCATCCACCAACACTCTAAATTTCGCGGAATACACATGGTGAGCTATATTAGTTCTAATTAATTAAAGAGCGTCAGTATGTAATAACTCTGTCGAATTTTCTGCCTCTAAGTGGGCATATTTAAAGACGCCGACTTAACAACTTCTTAGGATTCAGAATTTGTTCGCATTTCAAAAGGGTGTATAAACCATTGCAGACACAGTCAGACCGTAACGCCGTGGGTTTTCGCGCTCGCGTAACGTTTTATCGAGGGTGTCGAAATGTCGCTATTTGTCAGGTATTAACGGTTTTTTCGTCCTACGTCACTTTTCGTAATGTTTGTGCTAGGAACATAGCTTTTTCGCAGTTTGTTAGTAGTTTGACGTATTTGTTTCTCACAACCTGAGTGAATGTCTAGTCAACCTAGTGTGGTTATTCGTAACAATACAAACTCAAGCGAGTAAACTTCGCCATTTTTCAGGTCAAAATAGATCACTAATAGAGTTCTAAAGAAATTAAGCTCAAAAACCTTTTACATTTGGTTCACCTCCTTGATTATGGTGATGATGAACATGGATTTTGGTAGTTGTTTTCAAAAGAGGTTTAGGCAATTAAACGTTAACCTTTTTATCAATTTTATATAACTTGCTAATATACAGCAATAAACAGTCATATCGTTTATAAGCATAATCTTTCAAGGTCGCTGAAACGAAACGGCGGGCAGATTCGAAAGACTCTGACTCTGCAAGTAACTTGACAGATGTTGTGCATAAATAACATAAGATGTAGGATAAAACTCAGTACAGTTGTTTCAGTACATCAACTACTATATATTAGTATTTAATGATTGATCTTCAACTATATACACATATATACATTCATATATATATATATATATATATATATATATATATATATATAAGTATATTATTGTATCCAGGTGTTATTCTGTTATAAATAGGTCAAAATGTGAAAGTAATACAACCAATACAGTTTATGTTTGTACTTTTCCTTTGGATCGTCTGGTTAATCTAGTGAGAATCTTTACTGTGGAGTTAAACTAATCAAAATAAGGATACATTACTGTAGTTTCTAACTCGTAATTCAATACGTAATCCTAACTAGCTTTGACTTTTAAAGGAAATGGACAGTGCTCGTTTTTGTGTTAGACCTTTTTAACTGATGTGGAAGTTATTTCCACCATCAAATGGTATAACGGGTATACGAATTGCAAGTGAAACCTACTGGTTCACATTTAATAGGAAACAATTCAATAGAAATTGGTTTTCACTTTACTCATTCTTAACGCATCTGTGTTATATCATGAACGCGAAATAATAGGCAACGTTTTATCCTAAACCTAAACTGCTAATCTTCACAATCTCAAAATCTTTTAAGAGGTCTGAATTTTTATTAGTTCATACAAATCTTAGCATCATTAATTCGGTTGCCGGCGAATTCACATAAATTTTAAGGCGAAGTCGTAAAAATATTTGTAGTCGTACGTGTAACCTGGGAACGAATTGAATCCCTTTGTGGATAAGCTTTTGTAGAGGAAAAAACTAGAAAGAGAGAGGAATAACGTTTAAAAACTACACAAATATGATCGCAAAATAAAAAGGAAACGCGATATGGGCAAGCACTGATCATACTGTTTAGAGTTCAGAATATTGATAGGCAGATTAAAAGTAGTACATTGATAGTTTATTTCGTTTTCATTCTTTACTTACGCCTGTTAATCCTCATGGGGGAGCATAACCCGTCCACCAGCATCCTCCATCCAACTCTGTCCTGGGCAATCCTTTCCAGTTACTACTCATCCTTTTAATATCTGCTTCGAATTCCCAACTCGGTGTGCTCTTTGGTCTTCCTCTTTTCTTTTTCCATTCAGGATCCAAAGTTAGCACTTTCCTCATACGCAGTTCGGTGGTTTTTGCAATGTATGTCCCATCTACCTTCAACGTCTTTTCCTAATTTTCTCTTCAGCTCGAAGCTGGTTTGTTCTCTCCCATAGAAGGCTGTTTCTGATGGTATTTGGCTAATGGACATTGAGTATCTTGCATTGACAATTGTTTGTAAGTACTTATACCTTTTTGATGATTGTTGCGGTTGTTCTCGGAGCTTCAGTTCTATACAAAAAAAAACTGTCATGATGCTCTTACTAAAGACTTTGACCTTTATGTTGGTGCTGATAGTCGCGATTTAGTCTGTGCACGATCGATCCTTATGGAATCCGGACTGTTGATCTCTAAGTTGGGCGTTTACTGGGTCTTCCATTCGGTCCAACAACACTTAAAAACTTCTCCTGATTCTGACAGTAGTGCGATACCTCTGTAGTTCTCATACTTGCTCAGACTTTTCTTTGGTACCTTGATGAGCTATCTTTCTTCCTAGTCTGTCGGTACTTATTTATCTTCCCAGATCTTCCTGAATGGAACGTGGAGCATGTTTGCAGTTACTTCTGTGTATGACTTGAGTGCTTCAGCTGGTATGCTGTCTGGTGCTGCTGTTGCTTTCTCACTCTTGATTCGTCTGATGGCCATCCTGATTTCTTCGATCGTTAGTGGAGTCACATTTATAGGGAGGTCTATGTGTACTGCTTCTGTGTCCGATAGATTTAATGGAGCTGGCCTATTCAACAGTTCCTCAGTGTTCCACTCATCTGTGATTGTCTTGCCTTCTTTGTCCTTAACCGGTCTCTAGTTTACTATATTTCTCTACCAGCTTCCTTGTTGTGTCATATAGTTGTTTCACATTTCCTTCCGTCTCAGCTTTTTCCTTTATCGTTACTAGGTCTTCCACATGTTTCTGCTTGTCAGCTCTAATGCTCTTCTTCACTTGTTTTTTTGCTTCAGTGTATTCATCTTGTGTCTTTCTCTGTTCTTATTCAGCTGTTGTTAATTGCTGTTTTGTTCTTCCTTTCCACGGAGATCTATTCCTTATGATAATAATTCTTGCGACCCAGAACCTCCTTATACGCTTAAGTTAGTGCTTCTTTGATCCCTTTCCAGTTGTCCTCCGTAGTAGTTTCTTTCAATAAATCTCGTTAGGCTTGGAACCTGTTATGGAGAGTTGTCCTGAATTCGCTGAGTTTGTTAGTATCTCAAAGGAAGGCTGTATTGAACCTTTGTGATGCTGTTCCCCTGATTGTCCATTGTTTCTTTAGCCTCAGTTTCATCTTTGTCACAATTAGGTGGTGATCTGAAGCTATGTCAGCTCCTTTCCGGGTTCTAACGTCTGCCATTGACCTGAATATCTTACTGATGCAAGTGTGATCTACCCGGTCCCCCGTGGTGTGGTCCGATGAGACCCATGTAACTCTGTGTATGTGTTTGTGGGGGAATATTTTGCCGCCTATAACGATTTTGTTGAACGCACATAAATTTTAAAATCTGTCACCATTTTCATTTCTTTCTCCCCGTCAGTTCATGTCGTCCCATGATATCTTCATAACCGGTGTTATCCGTTCCGACTTTGGCACCCGACAACCTAGTCAGCACCTGTTAATTAATGTCTTACTAATGGTGTATTGGCCACTGAATCTGTTTTTGAAAGATACTGTAGTCTTTTCAAGTTTAAACAGCTGCTGCAAAATTATCCGACTGCATTTGTCCGTTACTGTGTAAGGATTTATAATGCTTTTTTCGTCTACATAAACCAGGAGCATTTAAGTTGCAATATTTAGTATCTTTTGAAAGGATTTCACTTTTGATATATCTACCGTCTTCATCCATTCTAGGAAAGACGATATTCAACGACACCAAAGCGTTTAGAGGTGACGACTATACGTATTATCATTTGAATTTTGATTGCCGTGTAAAACAATAGCTTTTTGATTGAACTTTTTCAGAAGATATTCCTTGACAAAATCAAACAAGCAACTATTTAGTCAATCGTCCAGCTTTGCATTAATATTTCTTATATCATTACACAACGTTCAAGATTAGTAATGAATGATCAACAGTCTGTTGGTGGAAAATTATCCCAATCCGTGCACTTTAGTGATGGTGTTTTCGATCTCACTGATGAACACAATGAAGAGTGCTCGGACTCAGTAAGCTTCTTCCCTTTTAAGTGTTCTATTCAGACTTCCAAAATCTTTCATTTATTTATTTCAACACAACATTGGTACAAGGAAGCACCAAATAGATATGCGCCACATAAATCATTCGATATGTGTGAGGGCTGGGATGCTGCCTAGGTGCCCAAACCGAAGCAGGACTTCCAAAATCAAATTAGTGTGAATCCTTTTCGAGGTAGAGATCTATCTACTCGGTTTGGGGTTACACTTTCAGGATGGTGCTATCTGGGTGCTCTAAATAAAATGGGTGAATGCGAGATTCGAACCTCCCACCTGTTGGTTAAAAGTTGAATCCATTAATCACAAACCGTCTGCTTCCTAAGATTTTCTGAAAAAGTGCTTATGATTTATCATAAAGTTTTAAGGAATGGAAATCTAGGATTTGCATAGACGTAGCTAGGTTGAAACGTTGGTGAAGATAGCTTGTAGTGACCGCACAGTGGTTTTGTGTTTTATTAGTCGTAAATGATAAAGCACCCTTGTGATGAGCCAAAGTATGGTTTCATGTTTGTATCCTTGTTATTTTCCGATTCTTCCAACATTTGCATCTTCACGACATAGTTTTCCTCATGAGATTTCTTTGTCCGCTATTGTCACAAGCCTTTTTCTGTTGTAAGCAATAAAAATGAATCATAGGAATTATCACAGTATGGTTAAGCTACACACTAACAAGACTAAACTCGCTAACGTATTTTAAAACTTAGTAAACTCCAAAGGGGACAACGTCACACGCTCATAACCATAACCTGTTTGATTAAACAAAATATGAACTGTAGCATGTAGCGAAAACATGGCCAAAAGTCATACTGTATCTGACCAATCAACATCATATGATATCCGTCAAATCATAGATTTGTTCAAATTACTACTTACAAACGGTAATCGGCTGATCACTGCCTGTTTCTACTTACTGATCTGAGCCATCCAAAATGTAGGTTATCTGTCTTTATTTGCTGAGTGGCTAGAAATCAGTAACTGGAGACCCTAAGTAACATAACTCATAACTCTTCGCCATTCCGTAAGCATGATTGCTACTTTGTCTTTAGTTGAATATCACATTTTATCAATCTATTCTATGCGTAACCAGCTTGTTGTAATATTCCTTCACTCATAAAGACTTCATTTTACGATACTTTGAATTGTGATAACCTGAAGCATTGAGACATATGTTATTGTGTGTGAGTAACGTCTTCTCAAGGCCTTTTGGATAGATGATACAAGTTCTCTGAATTTTGAATAAAAAATGTGATAAATCCTCTTATATCTGTATCTATTTTAACTTTGATCATGAGCGATTTTGTTTTTTTGTTTTTAGTCTAAGTCTAACAATATTCTGTTGCGTGTTATTGATTGGTGTGGGGAAAAGTTGGCATGGAGTTTTGGCATTTCCTCACCGAAATATTATTATATAATTGAAAATGCCAAAATGAGAGCGTCAGAAAGAGATTTCATTGACTTGGGTGATATGGATGATCCACATGTCGCCATTCTTCAGGTAGTCTACATGTTCAATATCAATCTCACATGTTTTAATTATTGCAAGTGCACTAACCGCTTGCATATAGTCTGTTTTTGTGTGATATCATGAATGTTTAGCTTTTTCGATTATATAACTATATACAAGTTCAGAATTGACAGGACCATCATCATTTGCGACTTATCTTGTTTATTCTAATATCGATAAATTCAGTGAAAAGTATTAATTATTAGCATTTCAACTAAAAGTAGTCCAATGGTTACCACTCTTTAATGTGATTGTTATTGTAGGTTTCCAACCAGACTGAAAGCAGATCAGCTTATTCTGCATTTATTTATCGTTTCTGCTAGTCATTAAGTCATTTACAATGTAAATAAATAAACAATATATTTATAATATCCCGATGAGTAGAAAAATTAGATTTTCTGACGTTTCATGATCTAGTGTAAGCCACTTCTTCAGAGAATAAATAACCAAATTAAAATTAATTCAAGTTTAAATAGTACAACGGAACAACACGAATATTATGTGACCAATCTATTCATTGGGACATCACAAATATATTATTTATTTATAACCGTCTACCCAATGTTCAGTTTAATCGGAATTATCAAGTTAAACCTTGGTAATGATGCCTACAAATGTAAATAAATATTTCGTCCTATAGTTTATACATCGTATATACTACAAACCGAATCGAAATATAACTCTTATTTCCCTGTAAATCCTTTATGTAGTTATAGCACGAATATCTATATAAATTTATCTCATTCTCCTACAAATTAAGTGATTATTTGATGCAAAAATATTTATTATCTGGGATCTCAAAGCATTAAAATCTAAATATAATATCGGTCAAACTGTTGTTTAATTAAAAATTAACACAACAGACTTATTTCGGTTAAGTTAACCAAATTTTCAAACTGTGTTGTTGGAAAATGTTATTTCAGGGCTGCCATATTTCGTATAAAATTGTTTTCGATATGTTCAGTTTTTGTCTTTCCATTACAATACAACTACCTTCAAAGCTTTCTCTTTTTATTCATTCAAATTTAACCTTACCATCAAACTTGCTTCTATGCTTTTACGTTTTGAAAATATGTTGTTTAATATATGGTCTCTGAAGTCGCATTTCTCTTCTTTTTCTTCCTTTTTTACAGTGTTCGGTGCCAAATAAAAACTATACTCATCCATCAGTTCTTTCATCTGGCTAAACGTATCGTGAATAGTTTGACCAATTTTTCTTCAATCTTTGTGACTATCTATAAAACAATCCAACCCTTAAAGTAGTATTGTCAGATATTCTATCACATGTGGAATATATCATATTGTTTTAAGTATTTATATAATTCACTGTGAACGTACTAATTACTTTCTGGCTGTAATTTTTGTACAATTTTATCCTCTGTTGACAATATGTAAAAGATGCTTATTTATTGTATACTTCAGAAGTGGTTTTTCCTCTGCTTATCGATACATATATTTCATCATATACTTTGTAGGCATTACTTTTTTGTAACAATTATATTGCATCATTGTATAATTTACTTTTTCATTCTGTCGACAAATTATTGAAACTCAATTATCAAACAACACAGGGTCACGTAATTCAACTTTAAACATTAAGTATTATGTTAGGACAAATTCTTTGTTGCCCAAACCGAAGTGGATAGATCAAGGCTCAAATATATGATATACTGATTAAAAGTCAGATCTTAACCATTAAGCCACAGCACCAATCTATCGTATAGTATATATGATTTGACTTTTCTGACACCCGAACAAGATTCAGCGTAATTATAACACACTTTTTAATGAATTATTGATAGCAATTCTTCCATTTAGTAAGAATAAATTTAGTAGTAATCGCTGATTATATTCATAACTAAATGAACATCCCTTCACTATTTGTTTGATTCTGAAAATACTGTTTACATTACTTCGCTATTATACTATTAATTCATCAGTTACATTTGTATGGTGTTAAATGTTTAATATATTGCAGTTTAATAAAATATCAAAAATTGATATATAAAGTTTAGTAATAATTTCGACAGGGAAACACATCCATTTGAAAGTTCGTAGTTGAACTGATTTGAACTAAATCTGCAGTAAAAGTGGGGTTTTAAGTTAGCCAATTATCGCGAAAAATTTCAATTCATTTGTAGCTTCTTTCTAGCTATGTGTATACATGTATATAGAATGAAAATTCTACAACTTAATCTTTTTGGTCTTAATTTGGAAAAGATACGATATATTTGAACTACTAGCAAATTGTCAGTAGTTAAATGATTTAGACGAAAAGCACATACCTTCTTTCTAATTGTAGTGACTGCTTCATCACCTTTGTCATATATTGACTGGAAGCAGTAAATTAGATCAGTAACCGTTTCAGAAAAGTTTTCTAACTATATGCTAGTCCATAACAGCCTTGCCGTAGAATATAAGTTGTTCTATGGTTTATGTTTCTGAATTATAGAGAGTTGTAGAGAAGCTTCATCATTTATGCATTCAGTTTTACACGACAAGTAGGAGACCGAAAACGGTATGCTCATAATCTATTCCCAAAATTAATTTGTCGGTATGAGGTTTAGTTATTTTCGTAATGCTTGTCACCTTGAATATAGTAGTTCCAGAGATTTATCGTTTAATCACTTAAAGTCAATACCCAAAGTGCTAGTTTATTTTGAGTTACAAAACTTTGTTTTCTGTCCCATAGTTGATACTGTCTCCAGTTTCTACCTCACTCATTGTTTATGTCTGTACGTAAGCTAGTGATTGGAGGTAGTCGTTAGGAAGTCTTGGGTTTCGTGCTAGTTGAGACGCGTTAGCAAATTGATTGGTATAATTAAGTCGCTATTGAGAAATAAATGACATACATGATACTCGTCACTAATCGGTGAACAATCTATTGCAAATATTTTTATGTCATTGGATTGACAGTAGTAATCATTATATACGTTTAAAAACTAACATCTAGAAGCATATGGACCACGAAAAAGTTCTAATTGGGGCTCCATTTCTTTTTAATACACTTCAAAGAAGTGATTTGAAACCATTTTCTTGTAAATCCTTTGAAGGATTACGGTAATTAAGTTCAAATCAACATTTTAACCTATGTGTAGCATGTATGTACTTTTTATCCGTAAGTCCTAGTCAGAGTATTGATCTGATTTTCATTCTTCTTGAACTCCATAATTTCGTCGACTTTATTTATATCCGTTAAACTAAACTATATTAAAATAAATGAATGATGAAAACATTACAACTGCAGGTGAAGTTGTTTCATCCTAGTATGCTGATATTAATTATTTGTCAGTTTTTAATCTCTGTTGAGGAACCAGGAAATACTGAATATGTATTTCGTTCTAGCGCACGAGACTATCTACAAACTAAACTGGACTCCACAGGTCTATAAATCAATTCATCTGTCTATCAAATCAATTCTCTGGGGCTTTTAGTGTCATGTAAATTCTAGATTCCAATATTTTTCAAGCTGAACGTGCGTCCATGATTGTCTATATGCATTAACATAAGCAATGATGTTATTTAATATTCGTTCAGGATAGAATAAAGGCGGAATTTCGAAATCATGGATAGAGGGCGTACTAAGAACATCAGAGAATTTGTAGAAGCTAGGCAACCAAGTCAGTCAAAAAACATTGGAATCGATCTAACTTATCAACCAATCACAATAATCGTCGACAAATATGGGACTAAGAATCAGATCGAGAGGAGAAACAATCAAAATAAAGTTGCAACGAATGACATGTTATGTCTACATTAACCAATCACGATCGAGGTCGACAGCATAAGCTGTTAGTCATCAGCGAAGAAATCCGAATACTTCATTTCTATCTGAAGTTTATGCTGATGATGTTCAGAAGAATAATGAAAGCTCCACGACCAAATCATCCAGCTCAAACAAAAGAACTTCACCTTTGTCATCCACCTAAACTACACGTCTTCTCTACTAACTCATCCAAATTCACGTCATTGAGAATTGAAGTCACACTGAAATAAATAAACAGTTCAAAAAAAGATTAGATAACAGAACAAAAATATTAAAACCATATTGTAATTAGTTTTTTTCTTTTTTGTTTCTTCAAGTGATTGGCATAATGAAGTAATATGGTAACACAGCTTTAGCAGAATAGATTATATTTATTGTGTAATCATTAAGTGGGAAACATAAGAACAAGAATAGAAATGGTAATAACAATATTAAAATTAAGTGAAAGCTACTGTAAACCATAATTTGTTTATTTAAAGTTCTCTTTTTATTCTTACGGTCCTTTTTTATCTACGAAATAAAGGTGTTTCACTTGGTTCTTAATTATTATGAAAACGAAAATGTAATTGGCATTTAAATAGCTTTCTTTATTTAATAGTTTGAAGAATTATATATATATATATATATATATATATATATATATATATATATATATACTTGGGAATAAACATGTGTGTTGCAGAAAATGCTGAAACTGTTCTTCTTCATTAAATTATTAACTAGGAAATATCATAACAAGAATAATATAGATTAGAAAAAGCAAAATAGGAGTTCAACTGAGAAAGTAATAAAAACATGAACAAAATCAAGGGATTATCAATTTGAATAAGCATGCGGTATAATATAACATAAGTTTAATAATAATTATAATCACTTCAAACACCAAGTATATGGATTCATTATAGTCTAATTGAAGTATTTATACGACTCCTGTTGGTAGATAACGATAATAATGAGGATCACGTCGGGAACGACACAAAAGACGTTTAATTCTTCCCCTTAGTTCAGAAGTCTGACTACCTTCAGGATACACTAATCCCTTCCCATAGCCCTACAAATAAAATACAAACATATTATAGGAAACTAGGAGACTTTGGTTATAACAAATATTTTACTTACATGCATACTTATATTTCATATCTCGGGATAAGTTTAAAATTGTTAGTAGCTCATAGTAAATAGAATTATATCAGCAATATCCACTAACATTCTAGTTCTGATATCGCTCTTGTAAATGTACATTTTACTGAATGCAATTGTAATTGAATACTTTTGCTTCAGAATTCTTAAATTTTTCACAAAAAATTCAATAATTTCGTCTTACAAATATAAGTGATTATTAACAAGTTTAGTGATTCCAGTCACCCAAAAAGTTTGTTTATCACTAATCATAGGTTGTTTTTTTGTGTGTGTAGAACTTCATTCTTTCCTAATAGATTACTTGTTAACTACTTATCTTGATTGTATTTTATCTAATAGTTTGAATATGATTTATGTATACGGTTCGTTATATTAAACTATTATACTGTATATTCCTTTACATTACTGAGTGTATATGATATTATGAACTGAATCAAGTACATATAAGTAGAAACATTTTCATAACTGTTATTTTTAAACAATGATGATGATGAGATGGCAAGTAATGTTCGTAGAATTTTCCTTTCAAACTACACACATTTATATGAATAAATGTTATATGTAGTTTATTTAATGAAATAAGTAACATTCCAAGAAATTTATAATATTTTCTATAATATCAGTTAAATTATTTGAATGGTTACATTTTCTTCCAATACATAGGCACATTTATAATACACATATTCATGCATCAAATAGGAATAGTTGTCTATTCAATACAATATATATCATGAAAACTAACAGTTTATATTGCTAGACTAAACAATATTGAATAATACTGAGAGTTAAAATAAATCGTTCCCATGCAAAATACATACATATTTCATGCATAATTATCAATGTTTCAATGTATTTACGATTGTTTCATTACATAAATTGTATTTTAACTTCTAATTACGAAAATTTAAATAATTAAAACAAATGAGTTTTCCATTAAATCTATTCAATCGAATTGTCATACATGTTCGACAGCATTTTATTAAAGTAATAAATATAATAGTAAAGGAGTTTTGATATGATAATTACAAAATACATCATACTATTACTAATTATTTAACAGGTATCAGCTTTTAAATTATATTTCGTCTATAAGAACAACAATTTTCTTCTGGTAATGTTATTTAGGTTAACTATATATCATAGCTGTATCTTATTAGCTTCAGGAGTAAACTACTTATTCCCTCTCTAACTAATAATCACAAATTATTATTATTATTATTTTTCCGACTATACCATTGTGGTCTTTGGACTTGTATAATAAAGATTTGTCTCAAGCTCTGATGTATTCAGACTTGGTCCATGTGATCTGTATCCATTCAATTCTGGCATTCTAGTATGGAACAAATACTCCATTTGTTTATTGATTTATATGACCAAAATTATCATCAAGGAAGTCATATGTATTACATGCATTGCAAACAGTAGTTACATAGGAATTTAAATGGTATCAGAGCCAATAACAGTGCACAGGTCAGCGATTATTCGATAAATTTTGCGGTGATATATAATTTCACAGCAATGATAGAAGAAGAAGGTACAATTAGTTATATTAATATTGTAAAGACAGTTACGTAATTTAACGTATGTAATTTTAAATATATATATATATATATATATATATATATATATGTACATATATATATGTGTAAGCGTATATAGATTATGGAAATAAACGGTATAATTGTCAATATCATGCAGGAGAAATTGAAAAAAAAGGAGAAAAAACAAATATGATAAAAAGAACAAACGAGAATCAATGAATTATTATTAAGATTAAATTATTTTAATGCTCAATTTTATAAATTTTCATTGGTTAAAGGAGATAAAGAACATAATGGTATGACTTGGCTACGTCTAATAAAGTTATTTATTTTCATCATTTAATGACTTAATAAAAATACAATCCATCGTAATAACTGAGAGTAGCTCTCTTATTCCTAGTAGTAGCGGTAAAATGAAATACTATTAGAAAACTTCTTTTTGTTTTTAGTTCGTTTTTAATTAGGGATAGATATCATCTTCAAATGGCACTCTTATTGTTTATACCTAATATTATTGTTATTAATGAGTATACTACTCATATGTGAAATCATTGATTTAGAAATCTATGCGTTGAAATCGATAATCATCAATCATACTCTAGAATAGGTAATTTAATAACTAAAGTAAATGAATTCAAGCCATTCAGTTGCAAGTTTAAATCCTCTATCATACCTTCTTTAGTTTAGATAACCACTAGCTTTTACATAGATACAAATAGAAAAAACAACCCAGTATGATTCAAATTTAATAGATGGTATGCAAATATCTAAACTAAATTCAATGAACAAATCACAGTCAACATAGAACTAAGGTAACAAATTTATTGGAAAACTTTCAATCTATAAATACATACAAATGTTAACAATGAAATAAAGCCAATCAAATAAACAAGCAAAACAGTGGAAGATTTTTTCCACTGTATTTTGTTTTCCACATCATTTGTATTCAACTAAAATTTGTGCATTATGTTCATAGGAGAAACGATGTGAATTCATATACACTTTATTTTGCAGTAAGAATGTGACATAAATATTTTTCAAAGCAAAATTCGTTGAAAAATAAACATTTTAAGCAGTAACATCATGCTCATCCCTTTTTTTTCATCAACCAAAATTAGCAGCGGTTTTTTTTAATTTTCAGCTAGTCATATGCAGAACTCACGTGGTTCGACGGCCCATTCTATTGAAGAAAAGCGTGTTAGTACACTGCTTTTTGTTGTTGTTAATCTTATTAAAATACGTTAGTACTATGAATAAATGAGTTGTGGTCATATTTATAAACCTAATTCTTGAATAACTTGTTTAATTTCCTTCCTTTCAACCCATTATTTCTTCAGTCTTAATGAAGGGTCTTTTAACATATACAATGTCTCAAGAAGTCTTAGAACAGAAATGACATTGACTGCGGGTTGTAGAGGACTTAATTCAAAAATATTGAATTCCTTACCAGTGACTTAAGCTTATGCTGGTTATCGTAGAATCTGTATATCACGGGTTTGATTTCGTGTGGGATTTTAGATGTGTATATGTGGAAAGTTCTAACTTGAAACAAAAACAACTGTTCTGTTTTTATTGGTTCTCAGTTATTCTTCAGCTAGCATTCAGTCTTGATGAAATTTGTATTCAAATATACGGAATATATAAACGTTATTTGTATGAACAATCACCACTATACAAGTGGTTTCTCATCAAAATAGAAACATGGTCGAATAATTCACCTTTCTGAATGTACTGAAGTAAAAATTACTAATAAACAAAATATATTACTAAACGTAAATTCATGTAGATCTACTTCAGAGTTGGATTTTCTTTCTAACCGAATTATTTATGAACTTGTTATAAATTAGTGTAATATAAAAAACAAAATTGGATACTTAATCTTGTTTGACGTAACAGACTGTTATTAATCTTCCAAACGATAATATTTACAATATTATTTATCAGTAGCATTAAGAAACTTGATATGTTGCTTTGATTCTGCGTCTGAATGACAACGTTTAGCGAATTGATGATAGTTTGTTATGATAAATCCTATTGAAATAAACTAGAGAATCATTATCATAACAACTGCTGATTTTCTCCTCAGTTGGAGTACAACTCCCTGCTGATAGATAGTTTATCAGCTCTGATTTACGAATGAATGCCATTTACGCTTCCTTTTTAACCAATTACTTCCAGTCGGATATATTTTCATATTTATAAAATTTAACAGTTCCTCTTTCAAAACTGAATTTACTTATTAACTTAACAATAAATTACCAATTTATATTTTGGGAATTTTTTTAAGTATGAGATTATTAAGAATATTTGTAGGTTAGGATAGATATTCACAGTTTATTGATCACTAGGTTGTGATCAATGTCATGTATGCCAGGTCCTTCTTAGTGCAGATTGAATCCTATCGACCAAGTAGCAATGTGGTCACCAGTCTAGGTGACTCGACATTGCGTGAACTATGTTGAGATAAGATGGTGGTTGGAGCTAGTCAACATGAAACCCTGGACCTAGGTTTTGTGCACTAAGAAGGACCTGACATACATGACATTGATCACCACCTAATGACCAGTCAATTGTAAATACATCTCAGTCCTACAAGAGACCACTCGCGACCCAGATAGCTCAGTGGTAACGTCTCTGATTATGAAGCTGTGTGACACGGGATGGAATCCGTCAGGGAGCATCAGTTCCCTCAAGATTACAGGTACGTCTTACTGACGAGTGCCAAGTGGTTAAGATAAATTATATGGAGTTGTATTCTCTCAGCTGGGTGGTTTATTTGTGAAGCTTCCATTATCCTTTCTATGACAAAATATATTGGAATAAGTACTTATGGAGAAAACCTAATTATTCTCTTGGAAATGCCTACTTTATAGAGAAATTCCCTAATACTTGAAAGATTCATGACTAAATTAACTAGCTCAGAGAATACTTTCTCTTTTAAGATTTTAAGTTATTCAGCCGGAGTTTGACATCGTAAATTAGCACTCTATATTTAAAAACTGAGGCATGTAAAATTGGATACAGTAATAGAAATATTTTAGTTAACAAAACTTTGATGTATTAGCGCAATAGTGATAATAAAAGCCAAAGGATCAATCTACAAACAGCCTGTGTAAGAATGTACTCAAGTCTTAATAAGTTAACAGTTAAATTTGTCAAAGTGTTATCTACGCAAAAATTTAAGCCAGCTACAATGCGTACTCTCAGATAGTTTTTCCTTATACTAAATCCAATTTTGTGTCGTTAGTTTTGACTGTTTTACATTAAGTATCATGAGTAGCTTTACTTTTCCTCATTATCCTAGATGTTTTTATCTCGTAATTCATTTCATCTGAGTTTCATCTTTCTTAATTATCTTTCTTAATATCCGAACAATTTATTACGTAATCAGGTTGCACAGAATGAACGGAGATGATACATGTATGCTACATGGTTCTAAAACATCTTGCCTTCTTGTCATACACTATCTAAATGTTTGAGAATGACTATTTTAACACTCTTCAATTATATTACCATTAGTAAATATTTTTAATACTTTATTAACAGATTCAATTTTTCGTGAAATCCTTACGTTAACCATAACGATGGTTTAGTGCTATGTTACTATGACAAGTGGTATATAGACATTGAAATTTGTTTTCTCGTCCACTATAAAGACCTAAAATACTTCTTAACCAGAATTGCAAACCCTCATTTTATTTTAAATTGTCCTATTTTCATCCGTTAACCACTAACGGAAAATTATTTCCAGTCCTTCAGAAATGTGGAAACTTAACAGAAAACAATCATTAATATTTTTAGATAGAATAATGTTTAAAGCATCAAAATATTTAAAGTTGAAATAATTATAAATTCAAGAAATGTACTTGTTCAATATTACTAATTAAGACTGGTTTCTTTTGAATAAAGCTAATAGTATTACTTAAAAAAGGAAATCGAACTAAAGGTGTAATGCTTAAATACGATAGCAATGACTATTGGTATTTTTTTATCATGGTGAGAGTCAGTATCTATGAAGCTGAATACTCGATCACACTTAACGTTCCCTTTTTTTGGGGGGGGGATTTTCAGTTGAATTATTTCCACTTAAATTTTATGAAACTGGTATATATGTCTATATATAATAAAGTGTAGTGAAATTCTTCCATAAATTAAATATAATACTCTTTGTGAAGTAGGTTAGTGTGACAATGTAATGTTTTTCAATCCATAATTTATTCCAGGAACTAATCATTGGAAACGTTTAAATAATTAAAACTGGCTCTGTAATCGTATCATGAACTAGACTGAAATATATTTTACATCTTTTATAACTTTACCATCGATATTTTTGTATCAACTCTTTTTTTCAGATAGAATGTTAAGACATTCACACAAAACAATAAATTATAGGAGGTATTTACACACCCATCATATAAAACTACTCTATGTATAGCATTCATATAACAGTACATGGAAAAAAGTAAATAGCAATAAAATTTTGTTAGATAAGTCGTTTGTTAGAAGATACCAAATTCAAATATCTGTCCACTCAACGAACCTGCTTGCAAGTTGTTGATATTTTGATTCAATTCGATCTTGTACTGATGCAGTTGTAGCGTTCATATCAATTCCGGAGTAACGATCAAGCATTTTCCGATGAACATCTAATTTGTCATTCAATGCACGTAGGGATCCCCTCATTTCCCTGTAGTATTCAGGTGAGGGCAATTTGTATTCCAGTAAATCGTCCATACGACGCTATTGAATAGCGTGAAATTACATATATACGATGTACAATTATAAAAATATTTGAAAACTTATTTTTGACATAAAAATAGTGTATATTAGTTTACATATTAGAATACATGGAAAATATACACTGTAAAATTAAGAAAAATTTGGTAACAAATCATATTAATCTAGTCGATAAGCATCAGTCTACATATTGGTTGTGTAATTAGTGTCCATATTGCAGCCTATGAATAAGCAAGTGATATTGCAAAGTATTCACACAGTTTCATAATTTACAAACAAAATAAACCCATGCTGATGACCAATGAAAATAGTTTCAATGAAATTAAATGCTTAAATTCAAATCGGATTTGTGTAAATTGTAATTATTTATTGATAACAATTACTCCTGTCAAATCAGGTAATTTTTGTTATTAGTAATAACCAACTGGGTGGTCAAATAAATTTTTAATGTTTCGCAGTCATGTGTGATCCTGATCTTTAAAGGATATAATCTAGAATAGTAACAGAAAGAAATAAGGTCTAACAGTTGGTGAATATTAGAAAACATAAAGTGAACTATTATCCTGTCTGTTTAACATAAACAAACAAGATGTACTTTTTTTTCAAAACATCAAAATGTATCTGAATAGATGCCTGAGTGAAATTTACAATGAGAATGAATAATTTAGTCTGTGTTTATATTGGTTATATTTATTCAAACAAGTTGAATGGGATATTTATGACATATAGTCTTATTTATTTGAATGGCTTCTATGCTTAGCACAGTTGAAATAAACATTCATTGGAGTGTCTTGTCTTTCTTCATACTTACTAAAGAATGTTTCGAATCAAATGTTCTCAATACTGACCTTATGTCTACTAGCTTTATCAGTCAGATATAGCCTATTCAGATGTTCAGTTGGTGTTACAATGTACTATCATGGTTTCTTCTTAATTGAAGTAGTTTTTGAGTACTATGTAGGAATGATATTTATTTAATGTCTTCTGAACTTTGAAGTCAGCGGAACATTCTCTTGAACATTTATATAATATAGGAAATCCTTTTTTTTTTGAAAAATGAGACTAAATCTGATAAGTGATTCATCTTCAATAACTAAACATTCATGATCAAATATTACAGCTAGAAGAACTATTCAATAATCGTGTAAAATTGACACACTTTACAAGATACGTTTCATTCAAGTCATTTTGTAAAATATTGCAAACATTGTGAAACCTATGAATAATTGTACAGTATAATACATCTCGTGAAAATAAATTCACACGATCAGGATTCAATAATAACTACCTCTGAATTATTGCTGTTAGTTTAATTCATTTTATATCAAATTTTAGATATCAGTAGGAGAGATTTTAAAAACAGAATTAAGACTAAACTTCATTTATAAATTGAATGACATTTTAGTTTGTATATTAACTTACACACTTGATCAGATGCCAAACAACAAAGAAAAGAAATGGAATCATTCAACAGATAATGAAATGTAAGTAAACTATGAAACTGATTATATGTAACATGAAAAGTTTATCAAAACTGTAACCAAGCGTTTTTTTTAAAAAACAAACAAACAGGAAATTGAAAATAACTAATTATCAATCGAATACCTATTTCTAGAACAAGAGTATGTTATGAGTCATTTTAATCCAGAGGATGCTAATAGACATATACAAATTATTGAGTCTAACTAGTCCGTTATATATTTTAATAGAAAAATGAGAAGACGGAGTTTATCTGAAAAATGTGATGTATTTGCGCTATACATTTCGAACAATCTGATCCATTATATATGTTTGAAATGTGTTGTAAGAAAATGGCTAAGCAGAAGTGTGCTCATTTTAACATTTAATGTTTTCCAAATGAACATATTTTCTACGAAACTTCATGTAGAGATATTTGTATGTTAGTTGATATTGAATAAATTCTATATGACTATTCTCAAAACACTGGTGAATTCATAAAGAATCAATTATGAGATTTATTGGAAATATAACATTTAAGTTTAGTAAAAGTCAGTCATATAAAGAAGGGAACAGATCAAGTAAGTAATCTAGAATCATGAATATTCAAAGGTAACAGAACATTTTGTGGATATATATTAAATGTGAAACATATTCAAATATTGTCGAGCTTGCAGAGGATCAATTGATGAGTTTTAAAAAATGATTGTAAAATAATTAATTACACAATGTACTTGCTTCAATCTCAGATATGTCTTTTAGCTATACTTATTAGTGTCATTACCCAGCTGATTATTGTTATACTTTGTTGAATGTATTTGATTGTGTGTTTTTAAAATTAGGGATATGCGTTCCTGAATTGTATTAATTACTACAAATAAATGTTTGTTACCATAACATTTTAGGGATAACATTTTTCAACTAATTTGATAATTAGTTACTTTTGATAAAAATCAGAAGTGTTTTGAAACAACATTGAAACACAACAATACAAGAAATTATCAACTTACATTGTTTCTTTAAAAAGAAATATAACAGAGGCTACAGTTTTTAAATAGATTTGTCATATGTGCCTATAAAGGTTAATACTATATCAATTTGAATGAAAAATGGAGATTTTATTATCAGAATGGGTTTTGTGGAGATTTTTAGAAATTTCAATGGTTGAAATCATGAGTCATTTGAAGCTAGACCATCATGAATTGGTTGAAGTTAGACATTAACACCGTTTTGTGCTTCCAGGTTTTCCATGGTGATCTAGCTTCAATTGACTCATGATTTCAACCATTGAAATGGAGATTTATTTGTTTATTTAAAAAGTAAATTGTTTTATCAAGAATTTCAGGAAAATATTTGAGATTATCCAATATAAAGATTATGCTAACTGAAATTGAAATCTACAGCCATGTTTATAAGATTTCGTCAAATATAGTTTGCCCTTACGTAAACGATTAATAATATGTTCTCAAATTCTAGAGATGGTACAGAATGAAAGAATTGTACAAACTAAGTATTATATAGAAACATTAATTTCAGTGTTGATAAACACATTTCTTCTGTCGATTTACTATTTGTTGAATTAAACTTAAAATCCAATATTTGAGTTTCAGTGTAACTATAAGTATCGAATATTAAGCCTAATGCTTTGTAAAGGCTGTCATATATATAATACAAATGTTTTTCAATGTACGGGGTCATGTATATTGATCTATTATCTAAATCCAACCATTATATTATTATCTTTATGTTTTACTAAATAATATCACACTCATTTATCATTCCAGCATTTACTCTCAAAGTAATTGAACAACTGACAAGTTACTTAAGCTGTAGATTCGTATATATAGTTACATGGCAAATATATGTCTATAGAAGGATAGAAACGATTGTATCACAAAAAAGTGGATTCAAGAATAAATAACAAATGAGGTTAACGTACTAATCAAGGGGTAAGGAAGAACAGAATTTATCGGTCAGATAATAGTCCAATATACGAATGTACAGCTTAAGTAAATGATTTCGTCGAAAAGAAAATTTTCTTTGCTGAATTCTTTTTTTTGCTTATTCAATGACGCTATGGGTTATTTTAATTATGTAGTTTATTCATTTATTTTGTTTTAAACTACCCTTATATTGAAGGGATAATGATATTTATAACATTTAATTAAAAAGTATTCATTGCATAATCAGTTTATGATATTGCTACTACCGTTAAGTTGTGTGATGTAATTTCTGTATTTCAACTTAACTATAACGTTCTATGACGCGATTCCAAATATTCAGTAAAGAAAAAAATGGAAAAAACGTAACTTTATTATTATTTTTTTCATTTTTTCGAAATTCACCTATAAGTTATGTTGTAAAGCGTTTTAGAATAAAAACTGTTATTATTTTCCACCCCTTAACAAATCTTTATTGATTTCTAGTAATTGATTTGTAATAGTTACCAAGTGTTTAAGATCTATATTATATTGATCAATGTTTTATTTGATGAATCTACTTTTTGGTGTAAAATTTATTTTAAAAAAATCTTTGGTAGACAATGATAGTGTTTTTCGCATATTTAGAAAAGTACAAAACTACTGGAAATTATGTAAAAAAAGGTGTTATAGAAGAAAAGATAGCATAAATTTTGTAACGTATATCGTTTATGATACTGGTTAGGTGAAAGAATGTTAAATGTAGTGTGTTCTGTCTACAAATCTACTTAGAGTTGAATCAACACATTTTTACACAAACATAATAATCTCATTATACACACTTTGTGTATTTCAAGCATTGAATGTACGCCACTGGAATGATTTCATCACGGCATTTCTATCAAAATTGTAATTCTCAGTCCATTAGACCTATAAATGATGATAATTTCATGTATAGCTAAAATATCTATACGACATAACTGACTGTCTTATTGTATGTATGATATTGAATTAAACAGAATGAATGGGTAATCTTTTATCTCAATGAATAAATCATCTATCTTGTTTTAAACTGTTTGGTTTCTTTACAAAGTGATCTAAATTAAATTTTATTATTCGAAGCTGAAATGCCATGCTAAAATGGGTTCAATTTGACTTTGTTTTACATTTAATTCTAGTATAACAGGTAAGATGCTTACAGGTAAAGTTCCGGAAAGTTCTCAAATAACATAACTGACCAACTGATCAAAACATAATAGAAGTGATCAGTTATCATAAACTTATGAGAATTAAGTTATGTACAAACTGAGACATATTCAAAGTCAAATATGTTTTCATTATTACAGTATTCATGAAAAACAAAATAAAAATGAACAAGATAATCAATGAAAACTTACTTCAATTCGTCTACGCTCAGCTTGCATATCACTAGACAAGTTACTATACGAACCTGAACTCGACAATGGTCTTGTAGTAACAATTGATGGATAATAATATGTATATCGTCTTGGTCCAATACTTGTATAAGTAGTTCTTATAGGTTCAATATTACTCTAAACGATTGAAGAAAAGTCAGGTGAAAGATTTTAATAATAATTAGAGCTTCAACAAATATACTCCGACTTAGAATAAGGTTATATTGGGAATTTATCTATTTTCCCTGTATTTATATACGTTAAATTGAAAAGTATCATTGTAACTATTCTAAAATTCTACATTATGTAAGTCAAAAATTGTAAATTGACAACTAAAAAATTAAACTACAATTCGCCGTATACTTTTTTAGAATTCATTTGCATGTCAAGCAGAGATGGATAATGGCTAGCAGTGGAGACGAGGATGCGCATTCCATCCTACTCAAGTCTCATCAGCTAGGTTTATTTGTACTCCAGAGTCGATATTCACTTTGGGACTCGAAACCAATAACATTTGCTTCAAACGCCATCACGTTATTCACTTAGCTACTGAGTCGTGATAGCCACCTGCTTGTGCGATGGAGTGAAGTTTAAATTCACTTGATATTGTTTGCTTGTATCTTTTCATTAATGTTTAGGACTGCATTTGATCAGGAACAATAAGTGACTGATCAAATACAGTCCTAAGCAACAATGAAAACATACAAGCAAACAATACCAAGTGAATTCAATTTGGATATCCTTTAAAAAGTGAATACGGTGCTTTATGAATAGAATGTTTTGTGAATCGATAAGAAAGAGAAGAATAAAGAATTACGATCAGATTTTATTCGTAAATGATTTTCGAGAACACACTTATTCCATAAATGAAAAAAAATATTTAATACGACTAATGTGTTGAATGTATCTTATATACATATAGATGTATTAGTTTACTTAGATCCAATTAAGAATTTTCGCTCATTTGTTCTATCTTTCAATATCTATTAATTAAAGAGAGATTATATATATATATATAAGGTAAGAATTTAGTTTCTTTTTACATAATCAAAAGTTAGATATAACTCTTATCACTATGTAATAATGATAAAATGTACCAAATGTTTTGTTTGTTTGTTATTTAATCAACAAAATGATATTCATTTGAAAATGGATAATCTTCGTCAACTCAGTAATTAACATGAATTTCATATTGTAATCATTAAAATAAAAACAGTTAGAAATAAGCTGACTTAAAATGTCATACGACATTTTAATTTTTGTCATATGACAACCAAAAGAATTTCATTCTTTCTTTCTTTCTTTGAAAATAAACTCGAAATAAATCTATGGAATGTTGTATTACAGTATTTAAACAAATGTGAATGCACAATGGTAAAATGTTATTTTTCTTTTTCGTTTTTGCAAAAAAGAAATGAAGAAGACAATTAGAATGTAGAAAATGACTTTTGCCTTTTTGTTTTACACGGGATTTAATATTGAATAACTTTTTCTGATTTAATCTTAACCATTGAGATGTATAAATGATTGTGTTAAACATATTGAATACTCGTTTCTTTTCGTTTAGATTGTATATCATAAGCAACTAAACTTTAAAGCTTAAGCCTAGTTCCAATCAAGAACTCTTAGATAACTATTTGGGTTCTAACATTGGTTCAACAACAAGATGTTGTGTAACCATTCAGACGAATTTATGTGTTGAACCGCTAATTTGTATACAGGAAATTCTGTAGAAAACTTCAATAAATATATTAATTATGTAAAATTGGTTTATCTTTTGACAGATTACTGTTATCGTTCTATAAATTGTAATGTTACAAAATCTGTTTCTCAAATTGTTGGTAACTTACTAAATTCGTTTCAATCATTTTAACAATTAATTAAAGTCGTTTTTATATCACATTTTTCAGAATCGACATGAACCACTAGTTCTTGAGTAGTCATAAAGGGCTTTAACCATGATGAACGTTCTTGTCTGTGGTTTGATAAAGGCATTCACATCGTAATTATAAAAACATTCTTTGTAATTTTAAGGACCTGACTGACCGTTTAAAAATATGGGATACATTCACTTGGATTAAAAATTATTTTTTAATAACTTGACCATCAGATTCTACACACACACAAGTTCATAAACATTTTATTACAGTGACCAGTAAAACGTCGGATTATAATTCTCAGCGGGTAAGTATATAATACCTTTAGAATAGCTATTATATTAAAATATTGATAAATTTGTAAATGTCGAACCTGATGAGAAAAATACTGAAGCGAATTGTTTTGGCTTATATTTCAGTAATATATCAATCGTGCATTCTAATTGTTTATAACAACACTGTTTTTTTTACCTGTCTACTTTTAATAACGGTGTAATCAACATGAAAGTCAAATGTTTTGATCTTGATGATATGTGGTTATTTCTGATAAGCAATATCAATAAACATTATCAGTGAACTTATAAGTTTCTTCAGCAAGTCAGGAAATACTTTTGTAACCTATGAAATGAAAAATATTTTTACATAGATTGATTGGTTGTGTAACCTTTCAAAGTTAACAGTAACCTGTCTTAAAATGTGGCACTTGTAGGTTTAGTGTTTTTTGATTAGAATATTAAAGAAATTCCTCTTTCATGTATAACACATAAGTAGATTATATATATTGATGCTATTTTTCTGTATAACCTTTTCAATGATGATAAAATACTTTTATTTTCTATTCACTACTAAAAATAACTGACAATAGTATTGGTAAATTTTAAAGCGTTTCAAAGGAATTTGATATGAAGTAATTTCTTTATCAATAATTAGAATTCTAAAGTAATCCGTTTAGATGATAATGTCTACAATGGTTGTTTAATGAGTAATTGTAAAAATATAAACGATGATATAAAGCCATCTAAGAAAGACAAGTAATATACAGTGATACGTATTATGAAACTTGAAATTTATATTTCCGGGGTTTCTGGGTTTAAAATTCTCAAAGTGCTTTATCTTCTAATGTTTGTATTTACACGGTGGTTGATTGTTATGATATCATTATTCATGCAGTTTATATGGCGTATTATATTTTAAATCAGTTCATCAACCAGGTTAAATTAATAACACAAAAACGATTAAAACTTCTCTGATGAAATGATTGGATAATACATGCTAAAAGACATGATGTACAGTAGTAGTATAAGCATGGGGAAAATAGTACATTAAGTTACTATGATCGTACAAAGTATGAACTACTTACATATGTTGATGTATAATATGGTGTTTCATAAATATACCGATTCGTTCTGTAATTTCGATGTACAACAGGTGGCAATCCATAATCTGTACTAGTTATTGTTGAACGATACGTCCCAACTGCTGACGGTGGCACTGAACCCAAACGACTAGTATGCAGTGGAAAATTACGGCTATATGATGTATGGATTACACGTGGCATACCGTTCTCCTGTGATTAAGAAAATAGAACAAAATGATTTGCGTAAATAATTATAAAGATAGATTAAAGATTATAGAAGGTTTTGTACTTTAATTTCCTTCAAAATAACCGATGAAAACTTTAGGAACTTATTGATAAGAGCATCAAGTAAAAACCCTGACCCTGGGTTTTGGGTTAATCGGCACTTGTCAGTAAGATGTATTTATAATCTTTTGAGAACTTATGCTATCTGTTAGATTTGATTCAGATGAAGTTTTGTTCTCTGAGATGGGTGGTTTGGTCGTGGATCTTTCATCGTTCTTCTGAACGACATCATAAGCACTAACTTCCACCTAAGTTACAAATCTTCAGCATCATCTCAAAGGTTTGATTCCATTTACCACAATACGACAGATAGATGAATCGAATCAGTAGTTTACGCATCAACTGATCTCATGTTGATATGTGATATTTATATAAATTTATTTACTTTGGCTTTATGTTGAGATTTCATAAGATAACTCTCAATAAATTATATTTATGATCAGATAAAAGTTGATATGATGTTCAATAAAAATAAAGTTTACTGGCAGTTTAATATAGAAATGTACAAGTTCTCAATACACAAAGAGCTCTATCTTCAAATAAGAAAACTAGGTTAATTGCATCAGATACTAACAATTTCATATCAAATATTACTAGAATTAATAGTGAGACGTTACATCAGTAGATAAGAAAATGTTGTCTTCTAAATAGTGTTACATTGACAACGTACTTGAAATAAAAGCGAAGCAGAGCATTACAATGAAAGCAGTAAAAAATAAGATTCTGATGCTATGAAACCATAGTCTCTGTTGCAATAATTCCAAGAAACTAATCTTTAAAATGTTAATTTTCAACCAACTTTTTATTCATAAACACATAAAACATTATATTTAATATCAGGAAGGAGTTTTTGTGGATATTATAGTAATTTAATGATTGAGATCATGAGTCAATTGAGGCTAGAATACTATAGAAGACCTGGAAGCACAGAACGGCCGTTTCGTCCTATTGTGGAACTCCCCAGCAGTGCGCATCCACAATCCCGCCATGCGAGATTCGGACTCAGGACATATCGGTCTCGCACGTGAACGCCTAACCTTTAGACCACTGAATCGGCAACCCACGGTGTTAATGTCTAACTTCAACCATTCCACGAATTTGAGCCACACGTTCACCATTGTCTTCAGTGAGTTACTATCTCACAACAGACCCGATTGGACACCAGTGGTCACTGCTTTATGTTGGTTTTTGCTAAATATAATATCACTGTATCTGATATTTTAAGTTCCAATACACATATACATCGAATTTTTACTGAGTGTAATACTTTTAATCTATCCTATATACTTCTACTAGTTTGTAAAATACTACTGAAACTGATTACAAAATTGTACAATAAATGATTTTTTCAGAAAAAAGCCATTATTCTAATTTACAATTCATCTTTAATGGTATCAGTCCATGATAAAAAATCATTTGAAATTGAATAATCTTTATATATTTACATTCCCTTACGTTGGTCACTTCAGAAATAATTAAAATGATCATGTTTTCTATGTTTAATTTATGAATATGGTGTATGTCTCTTATGCTGACATATATAAGTAGTATATAACACTAATCATAAGTGGAACATTTGTCAGCAGAAGATTGAATTGAAATGAACAAGAATGAAAACAAAGATCCATTGTAGTGACAACATAATTAGAAAAAAAACATAAAACATATAAAGAACAACTGAAGGGATATTTTACGAAATCACTTGTGTATTTTGCATGAAATAAATTGATTTTCCCCATCTAATTTATTATCACTACAGTAATATGTTAATTATCTCTACTGAATATAAAAACTAATAATATTCAGCTAAATAGAAGTTATTACTATACATATTTAAAGTGACTGATTATATTAATTTATTTCTATTTAACGAAAGTAGGTTTATGTTTCATCAATATTCACTGTATATTTAAGCCATATATTATGTCATACACCGATAGAAGTAAAACAATTATCATTATTCACTTGGTATTGCTTTAATTGAGTCTTCCCATTGATGTTTTTAGGACTGAACTTGATCAGTCTCTTATTGGCATATGTGCATACTGTGCGTATGCTTCGATATTGCCTTAATTTACAAGCACTATAGGCAAAGATGGATAGTGGCTAGCAATGGAATCCAGGACGCGCGTTTCGTCCTGTTTGAGACTCGTCATCTGGATGTACCTGCATTTCAGAGTTGATGTTCACTCTGGGACTCGAACGCGAACATGAACTCCGAAATGCAGGTACATCCAGCTGACGAGTCCCAAACTGGACGAAACGCGCGTCCTGGATTCCACTGCTAGCCTTTATCCATCTTTGCTTATAATTATCATTATTGTTTAATAAAAATATTAAACAGATTCTATCGATCTTTCATTGTCATAACTCTTTTTTTATGCAAGAAATATGACAAAAAACAATTGTTATTCCTAAACAGCCACAAAGAAACACAAAAAAGAACACTTTCTAAGCAAAGCATCTAGTTACTAAGCTCTATTTCATTATGAACATAAAAATTAGTCAACATTCCATAAAACTATCATAAATGTGTAATAAAAAATGATGAAGATTGTTATCTTTTTGAATAGAAAACAACTTTTCAAACAAAAAAAGAAATTGTGTAAACGAGTAACAATTAAAACAAGAAATGAATTGAATATATAAACTAATATCGAACGAAACTATGTGAATAAATCAAATTATTATTGAAGAAAGTGTTTGTTTTTAATTGCTAATCTTAAAACAAGCATAAATTATGTAATATGCACATTGATTAACATAATTATCATACATATTCATCACATCCATTTACATAAAAGAAAATAGTTTCTATGAATAATGATTATTAAAATGTATCATTTAAATTATGTTAGCCGAGTAACTAGGAGAAAAAAAAATAGTAACTAATGATTACAATTTTCATTTGAGAAAAAAAAACTGAAATCAGAACGAAACAAAACAAAAGTCTTTTAACAATGAAACATTTCGGATGAAAATAAAAATCAACTTGATTTCCTTGGAATATTTTTTCTGAGTTTTATTTTATTGTTTTAGTAATTAATGCACAAAAAAGCGCAAACAGTTTAAAAAAAGAAATCAAAACATACACACATGCATTTGGGTACTTTGCAAAAATGTTGATTTCATACATTAAAATTTCATGTTCATTTTACATTGTCCTCCTCCTCATCCTCATCATCATCATCATCATCATCACCATAACAATTGAAGCGTAATGAATAAAAATAAAATGACCGAAATCAAATCAAACACTGTGAATGATGAAGTATGTTGTATTGGTTCTAGACATGTGTGTGTTTTAAAAAATTAAATGTTATTTTATTATTCGACTCACATCATCTGCACCATCGTATAGATTACTTAAATTTTGAAGAGAACGATACTTCAGATAGACCTTAGCTTTCTGCTCCGAAAAGAAATATTAGGAAAGATGATAATAATAGATATATTTATCGAAAGGTATATAAAAGGTGCATTTATCGGAGTTCTATGTTGATGTAAAAATAGTATTATAAGAGCCATTTAAATATGTTCTTTTCCAATATGTACAACCAAGGATTATGTGAATGTTAGAATAGTGAATAGTTCCATTGATTTCCTTTCTTGGTCATCAAATAGATAATCAGTTAATGACTCAACATACCGTACTACTTAGATTTGACATTAAGTATCCTAATAATTTAAAACTGGGTATAACTAATGCATCATCAGAGAATAATGAATTTAAATCTGGTTCGCCGAAAAAACACATCCTAATATATTTTGTAGTTGATTTAGATCGACTTATTAAAGTAAATATCTTATTTTACAGATGATTTGCTCTACTCAATAAATTTTTGGTGGTGAACAAAGCAAATCTATAGTAATATGGTGTGATAAATCATATTTCCTATGAATGTCATTGCATTCTGCTTAATAGCGACAATACATTTTCTCATTAGCTTAGACTGTTGTCTCAACTAATTCAATGGTAATCACTATTTTAATTAGTAGTTAACGTATAAAATTTAATTGCTGATTTACTTGTAAACTAAAATCTGAATAACTGCTTTCACTGTTACCCTCACATCTTTATCAGAGTTTATGAATCAGCGCTATTCATTTTTACCATTAGTTCTGATCTCAATGAACTGGGATTTCATAAGTTTACATTATGAAGTTTGGGATAATTCCTGTTTATTTTTTATTATCTTGAATTGAAAACCGAATATCTTCTTTATGATTCAAACTAATAATGGCTCATTTTCTCAGTTTTATAATATTAATGTTGATATGTGCCACTATTCAATAAACACAAATTTACCGATTGAAATTTTCAATTCATTCAGATCTTATTCAATCTTTGAACATTCTTATAAGGATTATAAAAAAATATGTCATTTCTTTATTCTTCTATTGAGAATTTTAAATATTTAAGTTGAATTTCAGTTTCTAATTAGAACAAACCATTCTGTCAGTAATGAAGGAGGAATTTAGATATTAACTTATAATATTAAACTTTGAAAATAAAATAAAAATTGTCGAAATACCGGAGATAAAATATGTTGTTTTGGCGGTGAACTAGCATGTAAGTATGATGTTGGTAAAATTTCATTGTTCATAGGCCTGTTGACTTCATAATCACGCCAGATCGTTGGTCTCAAATGAGGTCGATAATAACCGTTTGATTCTGGAGTTTGGTATAAACTACTGCCTGCACTGTTAAACACAAAATATGGACGAGAATAGTTGGACATGGATTTACCAACCAAAGTGACTTTATTAGGTTCAGTATAGGCATTTCGCTGAGTGGAAAATGAATAACGACGCCGTGGAACACAAAGTGATCTTCTTCTGGGAAGTTGTGTTGAAGAATAATAAATCATTGGATAACAGCTAGTTCTAAATGGTGTTCCGCTTAAACTTCGACGTCTTGGTACCCAATCCATTGGCGGTGGATAAATGTTATTTGAACTCTATAAAAGGGGTGGGGGGTGGGAAATCATTGATCTATTCATTTATTTTTCAAAAGATGATTTTTTGTGACAAGATTAGTTTTAATTGACTGCTTTATTTTTGTAAATTGTTAGTTAGCACGACACTCATAATAAACTCATCTATCAGGCATGACATCAAAAATTGCAATCAAGAGAAAGTCAGTGTTAGTGATAATTTAAAAGAAATCAAAATATTATTAAAGTAATGTCATAACACCAGTTATTTTTATTGTTAGTGATAAGTAAGTAGACTCCACTCTGAGGGATAAACTAAACAGAACATATAATCTAGATTAGTATAATGATTACTAGTGTGTGTTATATACGGTAAAAATATGTATCAATTACACATGCTCTATTAAACTGTACGTTATATATGAAGTTTTACTTAGCCTTCATATTATTGGGTATCAAGTAACAATGTAATTTGAAATCCTGTCAGTTTTTTTTTACAGTGAATAAATAATTTGGAATTGTGTTCAAAGAAAAACAACAACACTTTACCTTTAACAAGAAAATCACAACATCACCCTAATAGCAGTTGACTTATATAACATAAACTATATTAATAAGGATTAGAGTTTATAGGAAAGAAAATCAGATTGATAAATTAAGTAGAATTTCTTAGTTCTAGACTATTGATTATCTTTCCCAATAAGTAGTTATTATATACGGAATTATTATTTAAAGAATGTATTGTTTTAAAGTTTCGACAAGATATCATACTCTTCTCTTTTTTCTAATCATTACCATGTTATGTGCAATTTCCGTTGTTATCATGTTATGAAAGTTTGTTTATCTGATACTAAAAATCCCTTTTTTTTAACTTATTCAATATTGGTTAGATAGTTTTTTTAATGAATTGCTGCTGTTCAAACAGCCGATTACAAAAACTTATTGCCTTATTTAGTTTATTAAGTTATGAAAACTATTTTGATGTAAAATCTTGGGAACTAACAGAAATCAGGAGACATTGAATAACTATTGCAATTCATTACTGAATTTCTATTGAGAAATCTTGAATAAAAGACTTTTGTCATATTTGAACTGATTCAACGATTACTAACGAAGATAAATTGATTGATATAAGAAATCTTAACCACTATATTGCAACTTAGTTATCTGAAAGTAACGCACTGGCTGCGATGACTTTTAAGTTTATAGGTTTCCACTGTTATGAACTCCTAAACTAGAATAAAAATATTTAACAGTGTTTTTATATTTCATTTTAATAAACACTCAAAACTGTTTGTGAATAACCTGGTCTATCGGTGAACCTGATCAAAATCTCTTTTAAGCGGTTACCAATGACTTTTTATAAGAGAGATATTTGGGGCCACGAATAATATGGATTGTCAAATGGTAATAACATACTTTACATAGGTATTAATTGAAAGTGCATAACGGTGAAATTTTGTTGAATTGAAGAGAGTTTTATATATTTCATTGAAGTACGCGATAATTACTGAGTTTGTAAATCTTATGGTTTATTCTTTTAAACCATACCTGAGTGAAAGATTATTAGCTGGTCCTAACATCCTTTGACTGGTAAATTACTAAAATCCATGGCGTTTCTTTACTTTAACATTAATTCTTCAAATGACGCTAATCTATGACAAACATTCATTATACTATACCAATTTTAAGAATTTTTATCATCAAGCCACATCTATTATATATCATAACTCCTGTCAAAAAGAAGCTCATACAATATGTTAATAAAATGTGATAAAGGTTTACTTTATGTAAGATTTAAAATATGAATGCGCCGCAATACATGCCGTGTTTGTATTTTGGTTCCTCTGATTCTTTCTTTTCTTTTATGAACTATTTGTCTATTGGTTGTTAATCATGAAAATTTTGTAATTCATTTGTATTTTGTATGTAAATGGAATCTAACAACAGTATAGTACTGAAGATTAATGTAGTAACCATAGTGTTAATTTTATATACAAATAGCAATAAAATCTGGATAACTTTCTAATCTACCTCACAACTTTTATATTATGGAGTTAATAGAAAAATAAAGAAGAAAACAATATTATAAACAAATCTCATTATTCACACTGATGTTGGTCGATAAACAAAGAAGGTACTATATATGCAATGGATTACATTATTTTTTTGGCTTGAATTCTAGACAACTACAAAAAAATGTACAAAAAATTGCTGATACATGTTTTATGAGAATAACTGAATGGGAAAAAAAGGTCCAGTTCACATATTTTATTTTTGAATATTTTTAAAGTTATTCGTTTATGAAAATCCAATTTATTCTCTTTCTTATCTGTTTAATGCTTTATTAACACTGAATTTGCTTGAAATTTATAACATCAACTATCAGTTTACTTATTTCTGTTAAATTTACTGAGAAGAATTGTAATGTTCCTGGTGAGACTATATTTCATGGATGATATTTGAGCGACTCTGAAGTGATCTTGAGAGTGGACACCTACTGATTAGGACTTAATGGGGTGGTTATAAAGCAGTTAGAATTCTCATTTACAGTTGATCGTTAAGGTCAAAAATTAGATTTAGGGTTTTCATCAAAAACTGACTTCAGCTATAATGCCAAAATTTTATTTAACCAAATGTATGGATGAATTTCGCGCCGAAATTCGTGACTCGTCATCCTATATCTGATTGGTTCGTCTATAAATTATAGTCTCGCCATTTTCCTTTATCATTTTTTTATGACATAGTAACATATACTGCTAATAGACTTCCGATGATATCAGTCTATGATATAAATTGTCTTCAGTTAACATTAATATTATGATGATATTTTCTTGTTAAAAGCTTGAACAATTAGACATGACTAGAACATCATAATCATTGTAACTTTGTTCACCCTCACTAAAGCTGCTTTTTTTAGTAAGTTTTTGAGTAAAATCACTGAAATAAACTTTGTATAATAAAAATATATACAGACAAATAAGTGTCATCAATGTTTGTACTCTGCTTATGTTTATTTAGACAATATTCACCGTTTTCATGGTGATTTTGGAATTTCTTAATACGTCTTAGTTATGTCACTATATCAGGTAAGTTTTCAGTATAAAACGTTACTGCAAACAATAATAGTTTAAAAATTTGAACCAGATAATCTCTAAATCTAACCTAATCTGATTAGAAATTAAAAACTAATGATTAAAAGGATAAAGAACAATCCATTCCACCCTGAAGCGAATTTTGGATACTACAGGTAGCAATGTAAAGATTCCGATGAATCTCAATCATCATAAAGATATACTTTAAAAGTTTACATCATCTAACCCAAGAATTAGCTTTTAGTTAATGTTTTGCGGTCATTCATAAATAGATATCAAATTTAATGAATTGTATTTGCCTGATAAGAGCTTTAAATATGTGATCATTTTTCCCTATTCCTAAACACCTAATGTATACGGAACATAGAGTTGATATCACATACGCTTTGTGATGTTGAATCTAAGTGTTCAGAGGCGAATATTGAGATGTACTGAAGCTGTAGTCATAAAAATACTGAAAGCACTTTCATATGCACTGTTAAATTGTTAGCCAGAGAAATGTGTTACGTATCATCTTTTCTCTAATCTCTTTGTTTTTTCTGATTTTAGAATTTGTGAAGTTTGATCTTCTATTTTTCATATAGAAATATCTTCATATGTAAATACATGATCATTTTAGATATCCTAATCAACCTGAAATTTAATGATTTAGAAAAAAATTTGGGCATTGGGCCAAGTCAATAGAAATGATCTTATTTGCTTTTTTTATTCAGTGGAAAAAATGAATATTTAATGACAGTGTGACCAGTTTGTTTTATAAGTACTGAGTTAATTCAACAAATAGTTCTGGTAAACTTTGTTTTCTCATTGCATTATTTAAATGTAACAAGCTTAGTCAATTCACAAATTAGTCAACTCAAAAATTATAGTGACAAATAACAAATACAATTGGTAAAAGCATAAGATGGTCGCGTGACATCACAAATTGTTTGAAGTTAGACACTAACACCATAAGATCCCAGTTCAGTGGTTTGAAGGTGCTGGGTTTGAGTCTCGCGTGCGGGATCGTGGGTGAGCACTGTTGAGGAGTCCTATACTAGGACAAAACGACCATCCAGTGATTTCAGGTTTTCGATAGTTATCTAACTTTAAACTGCTCATGATTTCAATGGAATCCAACAATCTCTAAAACCTCAAACTGATGATTCGGTAGTCTAAACTATACAATGTAAGAGTAACCATGTATATTTTATTTCTCAGCCAAATATTTCAAATTCATCATTATTATCTACAACTATATTATTCTTCCTGAAACAAGTAGCTTTTTAAGTTATTGTTTTTATTTTCTTAAAGTATTTAGAAATACTAATTTTATAGTTGCTTCGTATGGGAAAAAGTTCAAGGTCATCAGGAGACCTTGACATGTGATCACTAGTTATAATTAGTATACTAGTGATAAATTCGTACATTAAGGCTTTTTTTCCCTTAAAAGTAATAACAGAAGTACATTTATGATAATATTCATATCACATTTATAATTTAGGGCAATTCGGAAGTAAATATAGCAGTAAATTGTTCAGTAATTGTACATTGATTTTAGTGATACAGTCATATGACTACAGAAGGAAAATTTAGTTATTACCTTTTATAAACAAAATGTACTGTAAGAAATTACAATAATCTTAATGAATAGATATCAATCATCAATGTACATTGATCATCTATTACCATTTTGTTTGAAATAGTTATCATTATTTTCTAATTTCACTGAAATCATCATATCATTATACTTTATGACATTATGTTTATTTCTTTAAGAGTTATTAGTATTCGAAGTAAAGATTACTTCTTAGGTTATAAGAATAATAGTAAACTAAAACATTGAAGTTTTCTTAGTTATAACTATTATCTGACCCATAAACGATTTTCTTCCTTACCTCTTGATTAGTACGTAACCTCATTTGTTATTTATCGTCGAATCCATTTTGG